AGAGCCGCGGCGGGGGGGGGGGGGAAGGCGGCGAGGAAGCGCCCGGGCAGGGAGCCACCCAAGCGGGAGGAAGGGCTCGCCACGCACATGCGCCCAGGCGGGCGGGTCAAGGGAGAGGGAGGCGAGCCGTTCTCCGCATGCGCCTGGGGAGGGGCGCCAGGCTGGGTACCTGCCCCTCTCCCCCTTCCCTCTGATCTCCCCCAGGAATGTGTTTGAAGGAGCCATCGATTCCCCTCCTGAGACTGGGCTTCTAGGGACCAGCCCTAGAAAATAAGTCAGACTAAAAACAAGAGCACTTCTGAGCATGTGTGGAGTGCGTTTTGAAATAGCCACCGCAGAACGGCCAGCCAGAAGGGCTTCTAGGGACCAGCCCTAGAAGATAAGCCAGACTAAAAACAAGAGCACTTCTGAGCATGTGTGGAGTGCGTTTTGAAATAGCCACCGCAGAACGGCCAGCCAGAATTTCCTTCCTTCCTTCCTTCCTTCCTTCCTTCCTTCCTTCTCTAACTAGCCTGCCCATGGTCCAAGGACTTAGAGTGGCCATACATGGCTGTCTATTCCCCATTGTTAACCTCAGTGAGGTGGATTGGACTGAGAGAGATGGACTGGCCCAAAGTCACCCAGTGAGCTTCATGGATGAGAGGGAATATGAACCCGAGTCTTCAAGATTCTAGTTCACGTGTCCCCAACCTAGTGCCCAGGGGTGCTGTGGCACCTTTCCTGGTGCCCACCAAGTGTTTTTAGAAGGTGGGTGGGGACATATGGGGCTCTGGCCCAGCGAGGCTTCTGATTGGCTATTGGAGATGGATTGCTTGAGCAGAGTTTTAAAAACCTTGCTTTGGCAGCAGCTGCCACTGTAGCAGAAAGATCTTCACTATGCGACTGAAGGTGAGCTGCAGCAGCCATTGTATGGCAGGCTCTGCTTCCTGTGGCAGCCAGTTTGTGGCTGCACCCACCATGCTGTGTCAGAATTCTAAAGGTGCCCGCAAGCTCAAAAATGTCGGGGACCCCTGTTCTAGTTTAAAACAACACTACCGGAGCAAGTTTTATGTTGGGTGCACTGCTGTTGCCTCCTACAACAACCCATGCCTGTGTGTGCACACAGCTGGAGAACCACATGGAAGAATTCCCATAGATGTAGAACACACTCTTGCATGCAGCTTGTACTGGGGATACATGAGGTCCCCCTGGCTTTTCCTCCTGCAGGTATGGCTGGGCAAGGTAAGTTTGCCTCAGATACAGGCTTATGCAGGGATCATGGCTCCATGGAAGAGCCTCTGCTTTGCATGCAGGAGGTCCCAGGTTCAATTCTTGGCATCTCCACAGAGACAGAAAGTGATGTGAAAGACCTTTCTCTACTTGAGACCACTGTTCCCTCTAAGCTGAGTTAGTGTGAGCTAGCTCACAGTTTTTTTAGCCTCTGGCTCACACGTTTTTGTCTTAGCTCAGGAAAGATGGCTCCAGAGCAAACTGATTTATGCAGCAGCCAAATCGCTCGCTCACAGCTTTAATGCCCGTAGCTCACAAAGTAGAATTTTTGCTCACAAGACTGCACACCTTAGAGGGAGCATTGCTTGAGACCCTGGAGAGCTGTTGCCAGTCAGAGTAAACAATACTGACTTTGATAGATCAAGGATCTGACTCAGTATAAAGCAGCTTCATGTGTTCCTGAAGCAAAATGACGGCACCAACGAACTCTGCAACCTGGACTACAGCCAGTCACAGTTCTCCAGACCAGTTTGGTGTCGTGGTTAAGAGTGCGGACTCTAATCTGGGAGAACCACATTAGATTCCCCACTTCTCCGCATGCAGCTGCTGTTGTGACCTTGGGTTAGTCACACAGTTCTCTGAGAACTGTTCTCTCAAGAGCAGTTCTCAGTCAGAGCTCTCTCAGCCCCACCTACCTCACATAGGGTGTCTGTTGTGGGGAGAGGAAGGGAAGGAGATTGTAAGACGCTCTGGGACTCTGAGTGAAGGGCAGGGTATAAATCCAACTCTTTCTCCTCCTCCTCCTCAACTTTATCGCTGCCAGACATAAGGACTGGTTTAGACTCCCTTACATTTGGGGGGTGTAGTCCTCGCTGGCCCCTCCCACCCAGACTCCCAATAATACATTTTATAGTCAGCTGAAGTTTGACCCAAGGAACAAAAATAATTCATTTAATTGGCTCTGAATGGTACACCCCCTCAATGCTTTAAACAGTCATCTAAGCCTCAAATTAGCATCTTTTCTGATTCACACACAGCTATGTAAAATTTATTTCATTGTGGTTGGGGCCCGGTCCCATGATGTCAAAATGACATGTTGAGACTCAGCACCATCATACATGCTCATACACCAGTTCCAACATTTGACACACACACACCCCCAATAATTCAGATGACCAATATGACAAAGCCAGAACAGGGACCAATGGCACATGGGGGTGGGGAAGCTGCTTTGTGGGGGGGCCGGGGCAGCTGTGCACCAGGAGGCACTTAATGACTGGGAGGCTGCTAATGATCAATAGGGAGGGGTGAGGGTGGAAACTGCCATTGCCTGCCTCTGTGTAGCAATCCCGGACTTCCTTGGCGGTCTCCCACCCAAATAGTAACCAGGGCTGACCCTGCTTAGCTCCTGATATCTGGGCTAGCCTGGGCCATCCAGGTCAGGGCAATGATCAATATAGCCTTGTAAGTTTTTCAAACACATTCTATCATCGTTGTGGCGTTTGCCTTTGGAACAATCCTTTGGGACAAACCCTTATTCTCATACGAGATTAAGCAAAAATCAACCCTGACTGTTCCCTGGAAGGCCAGACACTGAAGCTGAAGCTCAAATACTTGGGCCACCAAATTACAAGGTACCACTCAGTGGAGAAGACCCTGATGCTGGGAAAGACTGAAGGCAACAGAAGAAGGCAAAGGATGAGATGGTTAGACAGTGTTATCGATGCAATGAACATGAAGTTGAGCAAACTCCGTAGGACGGCGGAAGACAGGAGGGCCTGGCATGGTGTGGTCTATGGGGTCGCAAAGAGTTGGATTCAACTGTGTGACTGAACAACAACAACAACAAACATCTAGACTGGCCCCTTGGGTTTCATAGCAAAATCCCAGCCAAGTCAATGGAACACATCAGATCTCCTGTTCACAACTGTATTCAATTGTTTCCAGGTCAGAAAGCTTGGAGTTTTTCAAAGCTGGGGACCAGATTTTGGGAACGTCCTCCATCACATCAAGTTTGTGAACACCCCAAAGCATTTGTCCAGCCACTGGTGGAGAAAGGGTGTTAGGCTAGGTGGACTTTGGGCCAGATCCAGTAAAGCGGCTCTTAATATTCTTGAGCCCTAGAACCGCCAATATTAAAAAAGCACTGTAAGAGCCCCTACATCCTCTATTCTGGGGAAGAAAGACAGGTCAGGATTGACATATGTAGAAGAAGAAGATAAGAGATTGGATTTATACCCCACCCTTCACTACCCGAAGGAGTCTCAGAGCGGCTTACAAACTCCTTTGGAAGGAAAAGGAGACCTCCCCACAACAAACACCCTGTGAGGTAGGTGGGGCTGAGAGAACTCTTTCCAGAACTGTCCTTGAGAGAACACCTCTGACAGAACTATGGCTTGCCCAAGGTCATCCAGCAGCTGCAAGTGGAGGCGTGGCAAATCAAACTCCGTTCTCCCAGATTAGAGTCCATGCGCTTAACCACTACACCAAACTGGCTCTCCTATGTACATAGGAGGGGAAAGGAAAAGACTATAGAGCACCAACATTCTGCCTCTAGGTAGGATGATCCCCCAAATTTTTGAGCCTGTGAACATTTTCGGAATCCTGACACAGGGTGATGGGCACAGTCACCAAATGGCCACCACGGGAAGTGAAGCCAACCACAAAATGGCTGCCACAGGAGGCAGAGCCAGACACACAGAGGAAGCCCAATAGCAGGGGAGAAGAGGGATAATTTTGAAAAGATACTGGGAAAGCAGAGTGAGAGAGGATAAAACAAACACTGTGGTGGCAGATGCCACTGAAACAGTGCTATTTTATTCTACTTGACAGATTGTCAGGTGCCAGACAGAAGCCCTGCTGGGTATGGGTCCCACCCACTTTCTAAAAACACTTGGTGGGCACCAAGAAAAGTGTTGGTGGGAGTCGTGGCGCCCACGGGCACCATGTTGGGGATGTCTATACTGGACACTTGGACTGGAGAGGGCAAAAGGGAACTCCCTGAGATCCTGCAGGGGAATCCCTCAGCCATCCATCACCACCCCTGCAGGATCTTCTCTATAAGAACAAGCAGGACTGCTCTGGAGCATCTGTGCATGTGAATACCTACAAATGCCCCAGTTGTATCCAATGCTCCCTCTAAGCTTTGGAATCTTGTGAGCAAAAAATCTACTTTGGCCCCGGTCACACGGCAAAGTTGTCGTGGGAGAGGCACGGGAGTCCCGCGGATTTTCGAGGTGCAATCTCACCCCAACATCTGGGAAGCGTGGTGCTCCCGTGGCGAACCCGTGGCTCCCCGCCGAAGGTACGGAGTTCCTGAAACCGCGGGCCAAGGGCGGGCATCTGATCGCATTCCCGGTGGACTTGCGTGGCATCCGGCACTCGCCGCTGTTCATCTCCGCAGGTTGCGCAACAGCGCCCAACAGCGCATGCGCACAAAGAGCGATTGCTCGTGCAATCGCGCGGCTTGGC